CTGACAGACCCGCTTGGCGACGTCACCCCTAGTGTCTGTGGATCCCTGTCGAGTGACACTCTGGATTGCTTGAAGCTTTTCAACTCGTCGATACAAGAGGGTTTGGAGGTTTGGAGGGCTGAGGCAAGCTGTGGCCAGTACAGAGTACTCCAAGGAGTACTGTGGCCAAATGCTACTGCTACGTGGCCGCGCCTGATGACCCTTGTCATCAACATGCTCGTGTCTCTCTCTTGATTCATTTGCAAGCAGGTGGGGGGACAAATCGAGTCCGTCTTGTAGTCCGTTCGCGACAGTATGCCATGCGTTTACTGGTTTCCTCCGTCCTCCAGTGGTCGTCATCCCGGAGAAGACTGGACGTACACGAACTAGTTAATTGTACCTAGACAAATGAAATCGCTGCTCAACGACTCAGTCATGCACATCCGCGTCTGCAGCTATCAATTGACGGCCGCGCTAGACCACTCACAAGCTTAGCCGGCGCATGGATGCTCCTAGAGCCTGCCACAGCTTGATGCTCTACCAGCCATTGATGATTGACGAAAGGACTTCGGGCGTAAACAAAGTTCTAGAAGAAATGGCCTGCGGTGGAGTTCCGCTGATAAAGCTCGAGTCTGCGAGGACTACCACCACCGTCTTGGGCATGATGCCAACTTCGCCCTTTCAACAGCCCAAAGAAGACCAGGTACAAATGGAACAAACAAGCTACATTGAAATCTTTCCGCTGTATTCATTGCTTTCTCGCATGCCATTTCCAACAGTCCCAATATTATTTATTCCGGCACCAAGTATTCTGTACTTGAAAGTAGAATGCCAGAAGCTACTAGACAATCCACGTGACCGTGACGCTTCTGTTGGAGATGGAACATGACGGAATCTCGCTGACTGAGCATGGAGTCTCGCCTCATATGTATCTCTGGGCTAGGCAGCGCCTTCATTCATCCAAGCTTTCATTACCATGCTCCCGTAAACCTTTATCTTCTCCTTCACCGTTTCTGGTTGAGACCCAAAATGTTTTGAGATGGATCTGCTGCAGTCCAACCCGATCCTTCAGCTCATAGTGGATTGGACCGTGTCGCAACTCAAACCCGCGGCCCCCACGTCATAGCCCACGATACTGAAAAGTATTTAGCAACTGACATTCTTGATACACCCAGGGCTACCATGAACGAGCAACCGGCCTTGCGCTGGTCAGGCTCCTTTGGAGTTCTGCCCACTACAGCTACATCAGTCAAGAATTTGTCCGGAGACAAGATTATTCTCCCGCAGTCTGCGTTGGAACAGCTCTTAAACGCCGCGCCATCGCAGCCGACAACGGCGTCGAGCTTCACAGCATGGGATCCCCACAACCCTTACCGGTCGAACGGCTTCGGTTTTGAACAGCGCCAGCAACTACCACAACCACTCACATTTCGGCTCGTGAATAGCCAGAATGGCAACGTTGTATTTGCTGGTATCCGAGAGTTTTCGGCCGAGGAGGGAACCGTGGGGCTGAGTTCGTTTCTGATTGAGGCTCTGGGGATTGAGCCACAGCAGCTGAATGCAACGAATGGAAATGGAACTTCCGATGCCGATGCTATCGACCTTACCGGAGACCACGTCCCTTCGACAACTGCCTCGATCAAACTTACGGTTGATGCGACAAATATACCAAAGGGAACATACGTCAGATTGAGACCGCTGGAGGCAGGGTATAATCCAGATGATTGGAAGTCACTGCTGGAACGACATCTCCGAGAACATTATACGTGTCTGACCAAGAATTCGATTCTCTCCGTCAATGGCGTTAAAGGGGAAACCTTTAAGTTTCTGGTAGACAGGCTTTCGCCGGAAGGAGACGGAATTTGCGTCGTTGACACTGATTTGGAAGTGGATATTGAGGCGCTCAACGAAGAGCAGGCTCGAGAAACGATGCGACAGATCATGACCAAGGCTCAAACTGAGGTAGTCGGTGGTGTGTCAAAAGGCGGGGATCTCGACATATGGAAAGACGTCTCGGGAAACGTGTCGCCAGGTGGATACATAGACTACATATTGCCATCTTGGGATCGATCACAGCCTCTGACCATTACTCTCAGTGGTATAGAACAAGAAGATGGTGTGGATCTCTTTGTCACGCCAAAGTCGTCTCGGCAGCGAGTACTACCCAGAGATTCAGCCCATGTTTTTGGCGACTTTTCTCCCGCCGAGAATGGAGTCAAATCCATCACCATATCACCTACGAATGTGGAAATGGAAGGGGCAGAAGCAATACTAGTCTCTGTCCACGGGTTTTCCTCTGAAAACCAGCGAACGAGCCAGCCAATCCCATTCACTGTCCGAGCCAAGGTCGGATCGCCAACAAGCAAGGCTGGACAGGATCGTATGGAAGTCGACGGGGAGGAGCACTCGTCTGATGAGGAGCAGTGTTCTAATTGCAAGCAGTGGGTTCCCAAGCGTACAATGGTTCTACACGAGAACTTTTGCCGGAGGAACAACATCCCGTGCCCTTACTGCTCTGCCGTCTTCAAAAAGGACTCGAACGAGTGGCATTCGCACTGGCATTGCGAACACGACTCGGCCAAGGGCAACTCGGCTGCCAGCAAATCAAAACACGACATGATATTCCACCAACATCACCCCTGTCAGGATTGTGAGTTTACAACAAACTCACTAGCGGATCTAGCCAGGCATCGAACTTCGGTATGCCCCGGGAAGCTCATCCTATGTCGGTTCTGCCACCTCGAAGTTCCGCAAGAGGGCGACCCCTTCAACCCTTCACCAGAAGTTGTCTTATCCGGTCTCACGGCCCACGAACTCGCTGATGGTGCCCGTACCACTGAGTGCCATTTGTGCGACAAGATTGTGCGACTTCGCGACATGGAAACGCACATGAAGCATCACGAGCTCGACAAGGTGAGCCGAGCAAAGCCAGAGATATGCCGCAACGTAAACTGCGGCCGAACACTGCACGGGGTAGGACCAAGAGGACAAATCGGTGCCGGGACGTCACAAGGTCAAGGTCCCGGGAACGACATTGGGCTCTGTTCCCTCTGTTTTGGTCCCTTGTACGTGAGCATGCACGACCCAGAGGGCAAGGCTCTGAGACGGAGAATAGAGAGGAAGTACCTGGGACAGATGATGACTGGCTGTGGCAAGTCGCACTGCGCAAACGAGTGGTGCAGGACTGGCCGAAAGAATACCAGCGCAGAAGCAAAGGGTTCTTCGGCGTCAGCTGTGTTGCCCTTGGTGAAGCCCCTGTTGGCAATGGTTGGAACCCCAGATGGGCACATGTACTTTTGTGTGGATGAGACGAACCAGAAGAGACGCAAGATTGCGGAAATGTTGGCTGCGGAGAAGCTTTGGGATCTGGAGTGGTGCGTGGCTGCGGCGGAGGCAGAGAAGGGGAATATCGATCGGATGAGGGACTGGTTGCAGGCTTGGGCGCCGAGGAGCTGATGTGGTTCGTGGTGACGACGCATGAGATGGAGTTTTTTATAGACGGGTGCATTATTTAATGAGTGCGCGTGGAGGTATTTAGCGATCTTTTGGTGGCTGCACATGATTTTGGTTTTGGATGAATACGGATGTATTTTGACCCCTCGAGGATAGGCTATGGATAGGAGAATTGGGTCAAATGTACGGAGTATGAGTGGAAAACATTGGAGGGAGTGGGCAGTTTAGGAATAGTATATTCCAACAATGACACGGACTATAGCTTGCTGCTGTCTACATATTGGCGGCAATAAAATGAAATAAAGGGGAAATAAAGGTTTCCGTTGCATTTGTATTATTTTGCTGTAGGCGGAGCTATTCACGGGGTTTGACACGGATTGCCTCAGTCTGGTCAGTGAACGATGGTCAAGTCCAAAACGCAGTACTATAGTATCTACCTACAACGGCACTGTACCTACCAGGCCCTATCTGTAAGTGTGCAGGACAACCCACTAGCCACGCGGCAGTTTACACATAAGCTTCACCAAGATGACGGATAATGGCTTGGCAAATGGCTTGGCAACCGTCCGTGGATCTGTTATGGACCTTGTCGCAGATCAGGCTAGGCACATCAACGCTTGCAGTACCAGAGTAGTACCTGTCAACAAGCCTTGCGCATACTGGTTCGTCTTGAATTACATTCTAAAGTTGACAGAAGTCGTTGATCACTCCTCAAGTACCACCTGTCAAGTACTAGGTACCCAAGTACTAAAGTACCTAAAGTACCAGACACTACTTACTTAAGTACAGATAGCTGTGAGGAGCACGGCCGCTCTACAGAGTACGGAGTACTACGCCTCGCTATTCAAGGATGTGTGTGACCTTGTATAAGATTGTACGACGTGTGAGGATATGGTCATCGTGTTACTTTTTTCTGCCTTTTTTTTAACCAAGAAACAGCCTTGTATAGCATCTTTTTCTAATACGGCGTACGGAGTACTGTAAGAAAGTTTTGCAATCTCCCCGGTCCCAGCCATTGACACCGAAGATGAGATGGGCAAGGCCGCCGATCGCTACTTCCCCCTGTCCCTCGTCGCCAATGATGCGATCCAGGATACCCGGCGTGGGAGACATATGACTAGTAGTCCGTGCTCGGTTCTTTCCTCGATACACTGTTTTTTCCTCTTCGAATTAATTTCGCAATACTAGTACCGCCGTGTCAAGCACCTGCAGAATGTTTGACAACACATGAGCAGGTGGAGAGTCGTATAGCTTTTCTCCGTGGCAACTCGACTCTTACGGCGAAAAGGTCTCAGGTGAGCTGCCGTCGATGTCAGCCTGCATTGCAGCCTCTTCTGATGCTATTGGTATTCATTCTGCGAAGGAGTGCCACATGAGACAGCATAACTGGCCTTTGCAACATGTTACACAACACCGCCCCTATATGCCTTTAATAAAGACTCTCAGTCGAGCCTCCTGTCAGACTTGTGCACAAATGCTGCGCATCTCCTGCCAAGGACCACGCATTCATTTTGCACGAGAACAAGCGCGAGCCTCTTCTTTTCGTGGAAATGGGGACTCGGGGCGCCATGTTGAATCCCGTTATGAGGCGATTGCTGCTAGGCATTGCGTTGGCGCTTGTATTGCTTTCCTACTTCTTTTTCAAGGAGAGACTAGGAGAGTTTGGCATCACCGCAGCTGATCGAGTGGTTCAAGATGCCGTCAAGCCTGACCGTGGTATGCTATCGGATATAAAAAAGTGGCAAAGGGAGTCGCAGATACGACGAATCGTAGGACTGGTATTCTATGGTAGGCGCAGTCAGGCCTCGATTTTGGACTGTTACCTCAAGGTGAGCCGATACGCGACCTCCTTTTCTTTTCCCCTGGTATCGATCAAATCAACATCAGTGAAAAGCAGAATTCGGGCAGTCATTGGAATCCGGCGCTAATCATGTGCACAAATAAACAGCGCAACCTTGTTAAGAATGGCGGGATCCTCGACGAGGTTATCTGGCTTCAACGCACCCAGAACCAAGCTGACTTGGCCTTCCTCGACAAGCTTATTCACTCTGAAGCGGGCTACTCACGAGTCGACGTCCAGCATAGTGACGGGAATTATGCAAGCGCATACGATGGAATCGAGGATGACGTTCTATACGTCAAGGTAGACACCGACATTGTACGTGGCTTTTATGAGGCACCACTCAGCGTTCATTATACTCATCAACGTCAAGGTATATATCGAAGACAGCACAATCTTGTCCATGGTGCACCTGCGAGCTACTCGGCCAGACTATTTTGCTGTTGGGGCCAATATTATTAACCAGCCCCTGAGCAGTTGGCTGCATTGGGGCCTAGGCGTTGTACGGCCATACTTGCCAGAAACCGAGGTGTTTTACCCCAAAGATGACGAAAAACAGGGTCAACAGTCCATTAGTTGGCGCGCGTCGCTTCTTCCCAAGTGGAACGCCCCCAACGCTTTCAACATGTCTGAATGGTCTCCGCCTGAGGGCCGGAAGCACCGATGGCTGCCAGTTCCTCACGGGGTCGACCACATTCTCGACGGGACGCCTATTACGACAACGACCTATGATGCCTACACGAGCCCTGGCTGGTGGAATTGGATAGTTGGCGCGCAGCAGCACTACAGTTTTTTGGAGCATCTAGAGACAGACCAGCTGTGGCGTTATCGGTTTCACGCCTGGGACTATCGAGACCTTCGAATGGGCATCCAACTCATCGCGATGACCGGCAAGGATATTAATAATGTTAAGCCCATTGCTGCAGATGACGAGGATTTCTTTAGCGTCAAGATGCCCCGGAAACTGGGACGTTGTAAGTAGCCTCGCATGCCTTTCTTTTGGTTCAAGTCGACGGTTGACTGATTGTGTTCTGGTTGAATAGCTGTGGTGGCAGCCGGCGGAGGTGTCGCGGCTCACTATAGCTTCGGCGCCCAAAAAGACGGCATGGCCAAGACGGATATTTTGGACAGGTATCGCTCGTACGCTCAGGAAAAGATATGTAAAGGACCGATATTGTGGTCGTCAGAGGCGGACGATCCAGCTAAATAGCCATGCTCGCTGTCATGGCTACTAATTGTGATATTGAACGAATGCCTACGCGGTTGTATTGTATCTAGAGACTTTAGATTTGGGATAATTGGGTCGCGATTCAAAGACGAAACCTGAGTCTTGTGCGTAACAGAGCTGTGACGTTGACCAGCCCAATCTGTTGCCGCGAGACTTGTCTCGCCAGATGGTTGAGAGCCACTTGAAGCTTTCATACAACTTGTCTCAATCTGAGATGTGTTGTCCTGGCCACCTGAGAGCATCTGCCAAAAAAAAAAAAAGCAAAAAGCAAAGCCCGTACTGATTGGTCCCAGCATCTCTATACTGTACAATATTGGAATTATTAGCCATCACACTTTGAACAACACACCGATTTGTCCCTGTAGCGGCACTTGGTAGGACACTGAAGCGTGCTGTCGTAAGAATCGCTCTGGCGCGCTAAAGGCGTATGCAACAAGGTAAAAGTAAGGTAAAAGCCACGCTAAAAGTCTCGAATACTCCGTAGTGCTTGAGTATGCGCCCTGGCCCATATGCAGGTTGTCCCTGGCCGTATGCGGGCGGATTTTGAACAGAGTTCGGATGGACCGGATGGCTCATTTAGGCGTGGCCCCCTTCATTTGGATGCCAGACGCGCGGATTTGAGGAAGTCGTAACATGCGAGATGAACGGCCAGGTACTTGAGTAGGGAGGACATGGATAATGGCATATGTATGCATGAAATCGTGGGCGTCATATCGCCAACTGCTATATTTGTCGACGGGACCCAATTCTGGCATGGACTGCTGGTGGACCAAGCTTCCGGTATGCTGTGATTCGTGACTCGTCGACTGGGCGCAGGCGGGTCGTATGGAATTGTTCTTGATTCGGATAGATGATGGCGTTGAGCTGACGAAGCCATCGATTGATGACCTCGGTGGAGCCGCAGCAGCTTCCTTGCCGCTGACTTGGAGACTTGGAGACTTGGAGACTTGGGGACTTGGCTCTATCTTGGCTCCCTCGGCCGGCGCCGGGCTCAAGATGAGATTCTGCGGTACGGAGTACTACTAGTATTGTTATTGGACTGGACTCTTGCGTTACGAGGTTCGCTGTACATAAGTATATGCCGACTAGTATTGACGGTATGAGGAGGGGGGCAGGTACTAGGCTTCCTGTGGCACAGACGTTTTCCGTTTCCATCCTTGAGCAAGTCAACGTCCGGTCTGGTGGCTGATGGTCTAGCAGGGCTTCAGGATGCACATGTCCATGGGGTACATGACCTGGCAAATCGGAACAAAGTCTACTAGACCAGACCAGACTTTTGCTGCACCAGCCAAGTTGACACTTGCACACCGTGTGCAGTGTGGATTGAACAAGCTGATAACGTCTGCAGCTATTCCGTCGCCATTCACCAACCAAGTCTGTCAAATACGCCTTTGACGAGGGTCATCTCGTGCTACCCAGCGCCCAGGTGCGCATGCAAGCATGGAGTGCCAGGTCGTATATTGTTGACGCATGTGCTCCCGCCAGTTGGCCTCCACTGCGGGCACCTCGCCCCGACATTTGGACTCTATGTACTAGTAGGTTTAAGTACCTACCTACTAGCTTACCAGCTTGAGACTTTATAGAGTCCTGTACTCCGTACTTAAGTACTTAAGTATGATTCCGGGGGCACAAAGAACATTAAAGGCGGTCGGACCACACATAGTCAAAGAGAGTGCCCTCCAATTGATGGATGCATCTGAAATACGAAACGGCTTCGGCGTTGCCCATTGTCTGCAAAACTTAGAATCAAGACCGACCGGAGGAACTAACCTCATCGTCCAAGTCCGTGCCAACATCGGGAGCACTTGAGCGCTGGATAACATTACATTGGAGTACCAATTGGAGTGGAGCCGGTCCAACGCCGCGGGCTGCTATCAGGCAAGTTTAGAGAGTGCATGTGAGTTCAAAGGTTTACATCAGGCAAGTAGCACGGCACTGGGAGTACATATGTACTTGAGCCCACCAGCGCAACCCACCACGAGGCCCAGCACCAACCCCCAGCGAGCGGCTAGTTACTACACCAGTGCCCATGTGCCAGCTGCTCAAGTCCAACAGCAGGTACAGAGTAGTCGACATCATCATCCCGCTTGTCATCGTCCTCCCGCTCACACCAGCGCAGCCGCTGCACTTCTAGTCTCTTTCGTGACGTCCCTTCTCCCTCTCGTCGCCATCGCCATTCTCTTTATGCCTGTATTCTCTTATCCGTAGCAGTACCCGTCATCGTCGAGCATCATTTTTACAGTACCTCTGCACCACGCTGCCGTGTTTGCTACGGGGTTCACGCATTCCTCAACGTCCGAACCCTGTCCCTCGTTGACGTCGTCGGCCTCGTCGGCCTCTTCGGCTCACTTGCCGCCTCCAAAATCCCGCCTTGATAATTTTTTTGAACCTCATTCCGAAACAAAAACCTCAAAGTCTGTGGCCTCGCTCCCACTGCAGATTTTATTTCGCACGCTCGACTGTCCCGAAAACCCCCTACATTTCCTGACCACTTGGCTGTGGTGCTGGGCAAACCTCGGTCCTTCGCCAACTGCACTATCGACACCGACATGCATCCTGGTGCCGCATTGTCCACCTGACATACTCTACTGAGAGCTTAATGTTGCACTGTATCAGGTATGTATGCTTGCCGTAACGGGGCCCAAACTCTTCTAGCCGGTTGTCATACCGTGAACTCGACAGCATTTTCAATGGCGTCAGAGGCTCCGGTTTTTTGCAGGTGCCGCTTCTAACTTGGTCCATGGCAGATAGCTGGAATCGGAAATACTCTTGCGACAGGAATCTGTACGGCGACCGCCTGTTTGAGGCCTTCCTTTAAAGATCCAAACACGACATAAATCCCGTCGAGCGCACTTACAATACATCCAACACTCTCCCAACAGCGAAAGCGCAGATTCATATTTCAGCCTAGCCGCAAAGTGCGGTGCCTTCACCATGGGCAATTCCAACACAAAGGAGTCCCGTCCGGACCACCACGACGGCTCCTCTGACCCTCGCGAGTCTGGAAGGTCGCGCAATCGCATGAGCAGAGGGGACCTGGGTGGATTTCTCAGTTTACAGCCACCTCGGGACCGTGGTCGAGATCGTCAGGATGCTCCATTCGAGCATCGTGAAACGAGACAAGAGCGCGAGGCTCGCCGACTAGAGAAGGAGCGTCTGACCAGAGCCAAGGATCGAGAGCGAAGCACCCGGGAGGAACATGTAGATGGAGGATATCTCGTGACAATGGGAACGTATACCGGCACCGAGGACTTCAGCAAACCCGTGGTTCGACAGCTTCAGGTGTGTTTTCCTTTTTCCTTTCCCATTCTCTCTGCACAGCCTCAAGGAGCATCATCCCGGCTCTAACGTGTAATACAGATTGAAAGGAAATTGGCCCCTTTCTGGCGCGGTCTGAGTGACTGGTCCGATAATTGGGCAGAACATCAACTTGTAGCAGCTGCTCGGGGCCTGCCAGTCCCGGCCGCCGATGCGCCTCCCGACCCTGATCTCATTCCTCGCCCTTCACCACCTCAGCCTGAAGGGGCGAACACTCACAGCTTGCAGAATCTAACCGTTCCAATGGGTCCTAGAACTCTATCTGCCGCCTCAGATCGTAGTGGCTCTGGGGCCGGCTCTGCTATTCATTCTCCAACGACAGCAGCACCTCCCAAAACATCGTCAATCAAGCCAAGGGCTAAGGCACTCGCAGCAGCTCTCAGTGTGGGCTCCAGAAATGCTTCATCTACTGACTTGTCCCCAAAGGAGGTGCCTCTGCCCCATGACCCATTTGTTAATGGACAGCCAATCGAGGTGTACCTGTACAAGGACGCGTCAGAATGTCCCATATGCTTTCTGTCCTACCCCCCCTATTTGAATCGCACACGATGCTGTGATCAGCCTATCTGCAGCGAGTGCTTTGTGCAAATAAAGCGAGCTGATCCTCATCTGCCTGAGCATCATCCGAATGGCGAAACCAGGGATCCGAATGAGGAGCCCAATCCGGAAGACCCGCCCGAGATGCTGATATCTGAACCATCGGCATGTCCCTACTGCCAACAGCCTGAATTTGGCGTTACATACGAGCCCCCGTCTTTCCGAAGAGGTTTGGCTTATTCAACCTACGCATCTAATGTCGCTTCGTCAACCGCAATGTCATCGCAGAGCTCTCTCAACTCGACGCTTTCTCCATCAAGCCCGCTACATGTCTCGAGGCGGCGAACACATAGCTTGTCAGCAACCGCCCCTAATGTCATCACAACTGATCGAGTGCGTCCGGACTGGGCGACAAAGCTGGCCTCTGCTCGTGCTCATCAGGCACGCCGGGCCGCAGCAGCCACGGCCCTGCACACTGCCGCGTTCTTGGTCGGAGCCCAGGAAAGTAGATCCATTCTCCGTCCCGGCAGGTTTGGACGAAGGAGTACTGGGACAAATACTCCTGGAAACGAACAAACGCACAACAACCCCGGCGAAGCGGAGGCTGACCCCGACGAAAGGGCATCTAGTCGGAACGCCGACGGTAGCCGTCGGACTCGAATGGAGGAACTCGAAGATATGATGTTCATGGAGGCTGTTCGGCTGTCCCTTGCGTCAGAAGAGGAACGGAAACGAAAAGAAGAGAAGGCCCTACGTAAGGAAGCCAAGAAACGACAGCAAGCGGAGAAGAAGGCTCAGAAGAAGGCAAACAAAGACCCTTATGGAGGGAACATTAGCGGTGCCAGCGGAAGTAGTCTTTCCCTGGGCCTTGGCCGAAGGCGTGGCAATAGTGGAGCCAGTGCCTTGAGAGTTGAGGCTACCTCGCAGGGAGCTTCGCAGAACACAAAAGGGGAGGAGGAATCGTCAACTGCCGAACCCGAAACCACGGGCGAGCTTCCGGGGAAGGGCAAAGCCGTGGATCGTGGACCCGAGGATGCTACGGCACCGGGCAGTTTTGCTGCCGCCTCGCTTCCCATTCCCACTAGCCGTTCTCGTGGTGGCTCACATTTGCGACAGATGAGCAATGCCTCCTCACTTGGATCATCGCTCGTCGACACGCCCTCTGGAAGCTACACCGGACCAGGATTTACTGGAGCTGATGGTACGGGTTCGCGATCTGAAGGCGATCGAGACACCGGCAGCGAACCCATGTTCAACTTTCGCAGCCTGGCTGAACTGGTAGGAGTGAACATTGATGATGGATCTGCACACCGGGATGAAGGAGAGGCTTCATCAGGCCACCCCAAGGACGCAACAGGTCGTCCCTTGTCACACGTAAAAGAGGAAGAAAAGGAAGGGGCAGAAGCTGAGCACGTGGAGAAGATGTGCGCTGAGAAAGCTGGTCAAGAAGAAAAGAAATCACTACCCGCGTTGAGTAGTGAATCAACGGCTGTCGAAACTATTGGCGGCAGCGAGCTGTCCCCAAAGGTCACCATAACCCCCGGCACTCCTATGCCAGATGACAATGTCCACAGTTCAGAAGCTAAGCAGCTGCATCACCCAAGTGTGCGTGTGCAACCGTCCGAAGCCATGCATTGAAGTGGAAGTGGCTTAATGGGATGATGAATGGCTTAGATGACGGGAATGGGCGCCTGGATGCATTGCTGCTTATATACATATACATGTTTCTTATGATGGTGGGTGTGCCCAATTTACGAAAGCGAAGGTGATGATTTGAAAGTGGCATTACAAAAATTGGGTCATGGATGGAGTTTCAGCGTTGGGTCGGCAAGCAGTCTCAATAGGCAGCTGCGGGTATTGATGCCATATTTAAATAAAACGATTCATTGTCGCTTGTGATGCAAATCAAAAGTGACAGGTGCTAAAACGGTCACGTCTGGTAGTTTATTCCAGAGCGGTGGAACAATATATCAGACACAGAGTGAACGCGTGGCTGAGCTTGGCGAGCAGATCAAATGCCCGATGGAGCTGGGGAAATGCGCTAGCTTACGAGGAATGCGATTCAATGTTCGGCACCGTGCCATCTGACTGGATCATACGGAGTACTGGGGCACATGCACCTGTAACGACCTCTACGTACTTATTGACAACATTGAACTTGATTGCGTAAACCACATCCATTCGGCAGCCTGGTTCCTTCCCAACGTCGAGTGCATGCGACTTGTTCAGACGCAAACCATGAGTCGCATCTCCACGACCCCTCGGCCAAGAAGGATCATTCGCCCCTCCCCGCAACACGTTACATGACATGAACAGCGCATCGCGAAACATGGATCGCTCGTCAGAGACCCGGGACGGCGAGCCTTCCGGACGACGTGGGTGCGGCATCTGCCAATTCCTGAAGCGCAGCACGTCCCCCCGGTGCGGGAGGCGGAGAGACGTGTTCTGGGTGAAGTTGCTTGCGTGGCGGGACATGCAGGACCACGAAAGGCCCGAGAAGGACAAAACACAAGGCTAGCTAATAATTGAAGCCGTGGTGCAAAAAAAAAAACGTCACGGACGCGCTTGGGGTGGCAGGTTTCAACTCTGATATTGAGGGTGTGTCTATGTGCCCCCTTGAGACCATTATATCTTTTTTATTTCCGCCTGGAACTTGTCCGTCCATTCTGAAAACGCATCCCGTCCGTCTTGCCAATCTTTCGCAAACAACTCGCTGGCGGCAAAGGCATCCAGGAAGCACTGGTCCATGGTCTTGTCAATCTCGGATGGCTGCAGCTCGTAAAAGGCGCATGCCAGGTCCCCGAAGCTGTCGGGTAGCTTGGCGAGAACCTTGGCCATTTCGTCCAGGCGAGAGGGGATGTTGGAGTCGGGGTTTTGGGGTGGGAGAGGCGGGAGCTTTTTGAGGCGGCGCTTGGTGAGGGCTTGGTAGAGGAGGGTGACGAGGCGGAGGCGCTTGAGGGACGTTTCGAGACGGGGCCGGATGCGGTCTGGGTCGGAGGAGGGGATTGTTTGATGCGAGTTCATGAGGGAGTCGAGCATGGCTTGGGCGGAGAGGGATTGGGAGCCGAGTTGGTCGGACAGGTTGTTGACGTCGGGATCGGAGTCGGAGTCGGAGTCTGGTTCTTCGTCACCCCATTCCTTCATCTCTTCCATGACGTCGTTGAGAATATCCCGCCACTGGTCGACTTTTTGGATAAAGAACCCCCCCACGCCCATTTTCGAAAGGTCAATGACATTGTCGCATGCCGACCACAGGAGACCCGTGGCTGGCAGACTGCCCTTTTCACCCTTTGCAAACCCTTCCCTCTTGCTTTCTGAAAGGATCTTGCCGTCGTTGGGGATCTTCTGTAGTAGTTGTTGGAGTTCGGAGAGGACGCGCTGCGCACGCCAGGCTAGTTCTCTGCGGACAACGGCCGTGTATTGCTTCGGCGCACATGCTTCGGCAGCGGAGACTAGTCCGGGGATAGGGCCTGCGACAAGCTCCCGCACGACGGTTGAGACGGCGCTCGGCGTGAATGGCTCGTTGATTATCAGGAGGGAAATCTTGGTGCCGTGGGCGCGGATGAGGGATGCGGAGTCGTGGGCGAGCGACAGGGCATTGATCTTTGGGTCTGGCTCGGGAGACGGTGAGGACGAGCTGGCGGATGCGGAGTCGGGAGCTTTGTGTATTTCAGATAGAACGGCTTGAAGTTGAGTCAGGAGGGCGGAGGCTGTTTGGACGAGGGACTCGAGTGCCTTGATGTCGTCTGTGTCTTTTGGAGGCATTTTGAGTCTTGCGGGTCTTGGGGACGAGCTTTCGGAATGTACTTGTGATTTGATAATGATGTAGTGCCAGATGACGTTTGAATATGATTTGGCGACGAATAACAGTGGCTACTATGGATGTGGCCGTTTCATCCTTCACCCCTTGGCGATGATTGCGGCGTTGGAGGCTTCAACGGCGGGAGATGTCAAGTCGTCGTCAACTTTTTTTTTTTCCTTTGCGCTTACTTGGGTCGTTCGAAGGAGGGGCATTTTTAGATGGCTGGACCCCTCACCAGAGGCTCAGATGTCCAGAAGTCAGCTTGAGGTCAACCGGTCAAGTTCATTTGCTGGCCTGGCGTCAGGCACTGGGGGCTAGAAGGCCGAGCATTTGCCGCCTGTGGGTCTGTACACGTACAGCTTCCAGTCTGCAACGTCGACGCTTTAGGGGCCCCTGGAGCTCAGCCCGTCTGCCCTGAGCCAGACATGAATGGGTAACACGGACTGTGGCCCATTGACCCAATCGGTCACCGTGTTCAGATTCGCCTCGGCCAGGCACCGTGTATTGGTTGAGCTTCCTCCGCCATCCTCCGTCACCATATCCATCACCACATCACTGCTCACGATGCAGCACCCACGTTCTTTGGTGCTGCTGGGCGCCGCTTCTTCCCTCGCCGCCGTTGCTGCTGGCAGCTTGCCGCGCGGTGTTGGGCCCGAGTGTAAGTTCTTGTGTCTGCATCCAATTGACGGGAGCTGGCATTTCTATTTCTACCTTCCCGCAAGCCGCGACTCCATTCGACCTCTCTTAGTTGGCCCAATTGCTAATCGACATCGTCGCAGTTGCCTCCCACTACCAAGGCAAGACCGAGTTCAGCTGCATCTCGGATGCATCCATCAAGCTGAGCTTCGACCGGGTGAATGACAACACCTGTGACTGCCCAGATGGCTCCGACGAACCTGGCACCGCTGCGTGTGCGTACATCGACCCTCTCTCTCCCGAGCAGCCACTTCCAGGCTCCGGATCAGCCTTGGCAAAGGCTCAGCCTGCGCTTCCCGGGTTTTGGTGCGAGAACAAGGGCCACATTGGTTCCTACGTGCCATTCGTCTATGTCAACGACGGCATGTGCGACTACGACCTCTGCTGCGATGGCTCCGAGGAATTCGGCCATGTCGGGGGTGTCAAGTGCGAGAACCGCTGTGTCGAAATCGGCAAGGAATACAAGCGGCTTGCGGACGAGAAGAGGCAAAAGATGCAGAGGGCGGTCAATCAGAAGAACGCTATGCTGAGCGAGGCGCAGCAGCTTCGCCAGAAAGCTGAAGCCAAAATCGCCCAATTGAATACGGAAATCAAGAGTCTCGAAGTGAAGAAGGCCGACTTGCAGAAGAAGTACGCCGCCGCCCAACTCCAGGATAGGGGCCGAGTGGTGAAGAGCGAGGGGGCTGGAGGCAAGCTTGGTGTCCTGATTGGCGTGGCCAAACCCCGGGTCAATGAGCTGCGCAACACGCTTAACAAGGTGCTGGAGCAGCGCAATGATCTTCGCTCTCGAGTGGAGGAGCTGGAGACGATTCTCAGAAAGTTCAAGGACGAATACAACCCCAACTTCAATGATGAAGGTGTCAAGTCTGCCGTCAAGTCTTGGGAGGACTACGCTGCCAGGGAAGCCGACATTGTCCATGAACAGGTCATCGACGCTGATGTGGAGGAGATTCTCAAAGAGGATAGCGAGAGCAGCGGCATCAACTGGGCTGAGTTTGAGAGCGGCGAGGAGGGCTCCGACACTGATATCTGTGAGTGAACCAACTTTTTCTCGAAGCCTCGCCAGAAGTCTTGGACTGTAGCATTCCGGTCACTTGACAACGCCAACACTTGACTAACTTTCTGTAGTGTATAATTTCGAGGCCTATCTGCCTGGCTTCCTCCGTGTATTCATGCACGACAAAGTAACTGCTGTGAGGCTCTGGCTCATTCAGAATGGCATCCTGGCCGACAGTGGTGCCTCTGGGTCGGAATCACAGGTGGTCAAGGCTGCTCGTGAGGCTGCTGAAGCAGCGGAGAGAGATCTCGAAGACAAGGTCCGCGATCGCGACAACGAGACGGAGGATCTCAAGAAGGACTACGGGCCTTTTGACATCTTCCGCGGCATCAAGGGCAAGTGTGTCAGCATCGATGCCGGCGAATACGAATATGAACTCTGCTATCTCGACAAGACGATGCAGAAATCCAAGAAGGGTCACGGACATACCAACATGGGCAATTTTGTCCGCATCGACCGCCAGCTGGCTGACGACGAGGAGAGGCTTGACGGGAAGAGTCTGGGCAAGGGCGAGCGCATGGTTCTCAAGTACGAGGACGGACAGCAGTGCTGGAACGGTCCCCGACGAAGCACTGAGGTTTGGCTTGGATGTGCAGACAAGGAAGAGCTCTGGCGAGTCAGCGAAGCCGAAAAGTGCGTGTACAAGATGGAGGTTGGCACCCCGGCTGCTTGCGACGACCCGGCGCTAGGAGAGGAGAAGAAGGACGAGCTGTAGATGCGAGGCTGAATACTGGTTGAACGAAATGTATGATGGCGAAAACAAGACCCTATAGAGAATCGGGCCGTGCCGACAGCTGTAGAAGACCAATATATTTGCATAACTTATATCGCATCTGGATGGAGTTTGACATGGCCAACAGACTCACAATCATCCACGTGGGTTCTTGCGTTTCTACTCCGTACACTACGAATGATGAGGTGCATGAGACCCACAGCGCTGGACATGTAGTTCTGTGATGCGGAACACAAGCCCGCACTGTAGACGTCGTCAACCTTGGGTTACGACATGTCGTGAAGCATCTTGAAGCACCCACGATTTATCTCGGCAACGAGTATTCTCACCGCTTGGCAAAATCACCACGGCAAGCTCACCTCGACCCCGTCCTGCCCGGTCTCACCCAACCACGCGAATCTCAACTCAACTTCCCCAAGATGAGACGGCTGTCAACCCTGCCCAGAGGGACAAAGCGCCTGTACGGCATATGCCTGCATCTCGCCGTCGGCGCCTCGATATGGGGCTACAACATTGGCATCCTCTCCTCGGTGCTCGTCCACCCGGGCTGGCGAGAGGCCCTTGACGATCCGACGCCGGCGCAAATTGGCCTCGTAACGGGCGTTTATTACCTGGGCACGCTGTTATCCTTCACGTTGCTATCACACCCGCTGGCGGATTACCTGGGCAGACGGCGTGCGGCCGTTATTGGGACTTGCGCCTTATGCCTCGGCGCGATGTGCATGGCGGCTGCCAACGGCAGTGCGGCCGTGGGGATCATGGCTCTCGGGAGATGGATTTGCGGCGTGGGCGTCGGGGTCGTGAGCACCGCGGTGCCGCTGTATCAGAGGTGCGAGCATGGATTCTGCCTTGTTTTTCTCGAATGTCGTCCCCTAACGCCGCGGTAGCGAGGTGTCGCCCGCCAAGGAGAGAGGCAGGCTCGTCACGATGAACCACGTCGGGTTCATCGCCGGACTGGCCTCTGGCCTGTGGTATGCGCTGCTGCTTATTAATTAGTATCCCGAGTCTCGGCTGAAGCTCACGCGTCGCAGGGTCGGATACGGCATGACATTCTGGACCTCCGACGCAGGCAGGTACTGGGGATGGCGAGACTCCATCCTCCTCCAGTGCGTCCCGGCGGCCGTCTTCCTCGTCGGGCTCTTCTTCCTCCCAGAAACGTCTGCCGCCCCCTCTTCCCTTCCTTCTCTTCCGTCATTCGGCGTTCTGACATCAGAACCAAAACAGACCACGGTGGCTCCTTGAAAAGGGCGACGGGGACACCGCCTCCCAAGTCCTCCACTACCTGCGCGAGGAGGCCATGCCCGCCGAGGCCATCACGCACGAACTGCACGCCATCAGCGCCGACGTCGAATCCCGGCGCAAGGCTGGCACGACGTTCGTCTCGCTGTCCCTCTCGCTCTTCCGCGACGCCAGTCTGTTCGCCCGGCTGTGGCGCGCGTTCCTCCTGCAGTTCATGGCGCAAATGTGCGGCGCTACAGCCATCAAGTACTACCTGCCCACGCTGCTCAAGGCCCTCGGCCTGGAGTACAGGCTGGCGCTGATGGCGGGCGCCGCGGAAATGACCGTCAAGATTGCCATGACGATTGTGGAGATGTGGGCGATTGACAGGTTTGGGAGGAGGGCCTGCATGACGGGCGGGAGCTTGATCATGGGCGTTGCCATGCTGGTTAGTGTTCCTCTTCCTCTTGGCTCTCCTCGAGAGAGAGGGGGGTGAGAGGGTGATGCCCGTTCTGACGGAGACGAGTCTAGGTAAATGGTCTTTTGCCCATAATGTACCCCGGGAATGAGAACAAGGTGGCAGACATCATCTGCATCGCATTCATATTCATATACGCCATGGGGTATAGTCTTGGCCTTGGCCCTGCCGCGTGGGTATACAGCACTGAGGTAAGAACGTCGTTGTTTTCACGGATGCTCATATTGGAGTCCAGGACGGGACTAACTCATTCCCCCTTTTTGGGGGTCAGACAACAGATCTTCCCGACTTCAGTACGAGCTAGGGGCCTTAATTTTGCTGCATCAGGTGGTTCCATTGGCAGCATACTCGTTTCTCAGATCTGGCCTGTTGGAAATGCCAAGTTTGGCAGCGGGATATACTTTTTCTTCATGGTGGTCAACTTTATATGCGTACCGGTATGATATACTGGCCCAAATCGTCGCCCATTGTCGTGCAGTACAATAGCCAAGAATGGCAAACTAATCAATTTGGGCCTAGGTTATTTGGCTTCTATATCCAGAAACAAAAGGTAGAGAATTGGAAGATATGGACAGTCTGTTTGGAAAGTCCGAGGAAAGAAACGCAACTCTCTCTCTAGGCGGAGTAGCTGAAGACGTAGGCGAAGATGGAGGAGACATGCTGTCCACGACAGCAACCCACGAAGAGGATGAACCACTGCTGCCATGATATGAAACAAGTCCAGGTATTTAGGAACTAGCCAGAAACACAAAATAGAGACCAAGCATGCTGCTTTGCATGAAACACCGATATTCATTAAACCGTAAACTGGTTGTCGTCATTGCTCAACGCAGCAGAACAAGTCAACTTGTAATATTGGCCATTAGTCAAGGTATCATTAAGGCTGGGAGGGAGAGCCCAACGTTGCGATAGAAGAAACCATGGTTTACAGTACAGTCCACCTCCTAAAATATACACCCAACAAACTCCGGCTATTATACTCTGCAACTGAACCAGAACAGACAAAGAGAACTGAGCAACCAAGAGAGAGGCGCCCCGACTCTGTATACCTGAAAATCGGAGATGTGCTTACCAGAAGCTACACCAGCCGATGTAGTGTTGGCAGAGATTCTCCAGTTTCGTAGCTTCAACAATCAGCTTATTGACCTGATTGATCACATCCAACTCCTCATTATTCTTGAAGTCTCGGCCGGTGAGCTTCTGTTGCACCCGGTCTAGCACCTCAACCGCTCTGGCGTTTTGGCTCTCCGTCTCCTGCGCACCATTGATGCCGTTACCATCAGGGGCCGCCGAGCTGTTCGTACGTGCCCTTGCCCTGGATGTAGGTGGCCCCGACGGTTCGCCATTAGCAGCAAGGAGCTCAGACGGCGCAACATCTGCATTTAAGATTGAATGCCGGCGAGCACGGCCTGCGGTCGGGCCTGCAAGAGCCACTTCGCGCTCAGATTGGAAATTAGGCCCAGCAGGTGACACCGTACTTGTCAAGCGCCACGTCAAGAGAGGATCATGAATAAACTGTGTAAATGTTAGAATTATGTTACAAGATTCATCACGCATTGGACAAGTGACACATACCGCTTCCAAGACAGCCAACACGCTTTCTTTGTTCTCCCTGAGCACTCGCATAACATGCTCACATGTTATACGGAAGCTACCTTCGATATTGCTGACTTCCATGGCGTATGTCAACATACGAGTCAGTCGGAATGGAACCCTCTCGGGATACTTTTCACGCTTCATTGCCACTTCGAAACAGTCTCCGAAATCGATGTGAATGATTTTGCCCGTTATACGATCGAGCATCAGGTTTGACGGATGTCGGTCACCTAGGCCGAGAATGTAACCAACCATCGACATTACACCCAAAGAGCGAGTATAGTTGGTTCGCCGTTCGAGCCATGCTTCAGATGATTTGGACTTCAGCCACAGGACACGGTACAGGTCCTGACCAGTAGTATTGTCAAGCGCATAACCGAATACTTCTACCTTCTGCATCAAAGTGAGATTATCATAATCAGGCGCCATTTGCAGCATGATGCGATGCTCAATGTTAAGCAGGATCTTGCGGCTTTCACGGTACTCCCGAATGAGAACGTGAAGAGTATCAGTGTTTGGCAACCAACCAAAGAGACCCGAGTTCTGTGAGAGCGGAATAGCAGGATAACGGTGGATGTTCAGATGTCGTTTGGAACATTCAGAGTCGTTGGCCAGCAGAGTGTTACAGAGACCAAAGAGCTGCATGACCCGCTCATCCTGCCTGATATCTTCATGACCCTTAAGGAGGAAGGCATACGATACACCATCACTGCCACTGAGTATAAGCTTTCGCGGCCGTTGCTTAGAATTGATGACACTAAGTGTAGTATCAAATGACATGATTCTGACGACTGGCTGGCCGCTTCTGTATGTTCCGGGGACTGCAAGATCCAAATCCTTGGAGTTAAGGAGCTTTGGCGAGCAATATGTAAGCTCAAGGCTCGTGACTTGCGGTAGCTGCCTAGTGATCCTTCGGAACACCTGATAATAGAGGTCCCAGGCCTGGTTGAGGTCATTCACATCCTTCGAACTTTCATACTGGTGGCACCATTCTTGTGCCTCCTTCAAGTCCCGTCCAAAAGCTTGCGCGAATGAAATCTCACGCAAGGTTTCAGGTCCACGCTCAAGAAGATCATGTAGGGGGCCGAGAGTTTCGAACATGCCTTCAATATTGTGGTCACCAAAGTAAAGACGAGAGGCCTCCTCCAGTCCTTCATGCCAAAGTTCGTGCCAGAGAACTGCAACACGAATAAGCTCATGAGAGACGATGTCGGCTTGAGCAACCAGATTGGCACTGTGTTGCCTCATGCTATCCATGATCTGCGCCGCGGAACGGGACCTCCTTGAATTTTGCCATGATTTCATCGCCACCGTCAAGGGATATACAAGAGCTTGAGGATGGGCTCTGCCAACATCGGCCAGTAGATTATGCACAGCCTGCTGCACCCGTTTGTTAGGCTGGTTAATTCGAGCAATGAGCTGTGGAATGACTTCCAGCCAGGTGTCCACAGAGACGTTGCTAATGCCTTCCATGACAGCTGCGTTAACATCTGCGCTGCCGCCGTGTGAGAACCACAGAGTTAGCAGGCGGAGCGTGTCTTGGAGGGAGCTTCCGACTGAGAGGGCGATAGACTTGAAGAATCCCTGAATGGCAGGAACCACGTGCTCAATAAGCAGCGTTTGGTCTGCTCTGGATAACTGGCTCTCGGCCCTGGCCGACAAAGTCTGGACAATCTCAAAATTCGCCAATGCCCAGGCATGCCAAGCTTTGTACCATCGCGGGTTGTATTTGGTTGCTTGGGAATACGAATTCAGGATTTCCTGCACCTTGCTGTGCTGCCAATCATTCTTATTCAGGGCAATAAGCCACTCTCCTTGACGCAGATAGCATTTCGCCAGTAAAACGGTCTGGTCATACAAGGCCCGTTGGGTCTGGGGGCTCATCAGGGACGGATCTATCTGCCCCTGAATTCCATAATCTGTCGGAAGATTGCCATCGGTGCTGCCAGCTTGAGCAGCGAGGTGGGCCTTAGCCACATCCAGTCGATGTGCGGTGTCGTTTGTAAACCTCTGAAGGCAATATAGCGTCCTCTCTGAAATGCCCTGTCGCCTTCCAGCGGGCTGTTGGCCAAGTTCCCACTCATATTTGAGCATGGCATACGTAACTTGGGCTGGGATGTTGCGCGGTGGCGTGGACCCCGACCTGTCGCTCCTATTATCTGGCCAGTACGGAATCATTGTCTCCAACGGAGCATCACTGCCGATGAGCTGCTTCAAGGACTTCTCGGCCAGCCCCATGCGGCCAGATTTACGGCAAAGATTGGCAAATTTGATCCACATACGCATGTTCTCTGCCGGTGAGATGACCAAGGCTCTGAGGCGTAGCATTCTGTGCCAAACCTCAACGTTACGCTGACATCCTTGTAATCTGGTCTCCCAAGTTTTGCGCATTGTTGCCTGTTTCTTCTCGTCACATTGCTTGTAAACAATAAGCTCTTCTAGTTCAGCCAGCATTTGAACTCGGACGACGACCTGATATGCTCTGTTATAAGATTCACTAACAAGAGCACTCAACTCGGTGTCCAGACCCTCACGAGCCTGCTCGATACACGCGACAGCCTCACGAAACTGATTTCTGTGCAGCGCAAGGATGGCACCAAAGAAAGATCTGTCTGGCGAGTGCCTTTTAAGAGACGACAGATAGTTATCCATGTGGTCCCATTTGTTTTGCCCCCATGCAGCAGCGGTAGCGAGCGGCGCAATCATCCGTTGCACCTCAGGAGCAGAATTGACCCAAGTGCTGCCGGTGAGGTTGGCAAGAGCATCCCATTCTCCAAGGGCGTGCAGGCATCTCATTTTACCCATGACGATTTCAATTGGGGTGGGCTGGTCAGCGGGGATCTCTCGTTCACGTTTGTTGTAAAAGGCGAGAGCCTCTTCCCACCTCTCAAGCTTTTCAAACCAGGTTTCACGAAGCTGGATGCCTTCCTTATAAAGCTGAGCCTTTCGTAAAATACCAATGGCGGCATCAGACTGCTGAAGCTGGTTGTTGATGACAATGAGTGCCTCAACCGCGCCGCTACTTTGATCTTGCAAGAATTCCAGCTCCTTGTAATGCAGTGCCTTTGCATACGCATGACATCTGGCCGCTTCTCGTCCGAGTACCCTGATATCAATTGGGAGAGCCTTGTCGTCGTGTTCCATAAACTCAGCAAGGTTCAAAAGCAGTCCCAACAGATCGGGCGGAACATTCTCAGACTTGATAGCGCTCTCAATGTTCTGTATCAGCTCATCTTGAAACTGTTCATACAGCTCACTCCAGCAAGACACGAACGCCGAGTTGAAGAGCTCACGGGCCAGCGGCAAATAAACGCTTGCCAAGCTTGCGCAGGCACGAAGTGCATGATTTGGCGACTCTGTCAGTAAGGTCGTGCTGAATCGCCGGAGCCACTCTTGCCAATCCTCCTTGGTGGATTTGCCTCTTGTGTCCCATGCCGCCTTTAAATGAATTGCGTTCATCTCCAGTTTCTTAGTTCCCAGATCCGCGAATTGTGTTTCATCTGCAATATCAGCAAATCGTGACTCGGATGTCAAATCTTGTGGCAAAACTTCACCCTTTTGAAGCTTGCTCACAAGAAGATCATAATTTTGATGCTGTATCTGGTGCTGAGTAATGACTTTATTGACCGTGCGCATGAAATGCACATAGTCTTTTCCGAGTTGCTGTATCAAAGCACAAAGCGTATCAAGGGCCGTCACCCGCAAAGCAGGGTCGCCGCTATCAAGCACTCGAGTGAGTGGATGAATTATCTTCGCTGCATAGTCATTCAGATTGACTTGCCGTGATATCTTGCCAATAGTGTCAATGGCGTGCTTTCGTATGAACACAGGTTGCCCTTGCTTTTCAAAAGTGCGAACAATAACAGGAATTATTAAGTGCATGTACTCTTCAGCGCTGGCACCGAAAACAAGGAAGGCATGCAAGACTCGCTCAGAGGGCACTCTCTTAGCAGACGAATCCTTGTCAAGCACTCCGAGCATGTTGGGCAGAATACCAGCTAGGTAAACTTTGAATTCTCCTTCCAATGACCGCGAAATTGCTTCTACGAGGGACAGGATTGTCGTCTGTAATGATGGTGATTTATCCCAGTAATCTTGAAGTATCTGGATGA